CTGGGGGAGCGAGTGTTGGGATAGCAGTAGGCTGGGGGAGAATGGGAGAACTGGGAGAAGCAAGGGCTGGGAGGGTAGCAGGCTGGAGGGACGAAGCCTAGGGTAGGCAGCTCAGTCGGAGAGGAGGGGTGTTTGTGGGTGTTGGGAACTGAGAACTGCATGGCCTGGCTGCACTAAAATTACTGTATGGGGAAATAACAATCAGAATAGGGGTGGGCAAGAGAAAAGCTGAGGAGCTGATGAATCATGGTCTTGCGGAAGTTCGAGACTTGATTTGAGGTAGTCATTTAATGTGAAAAAACAGGAGGTGGGATGAAGTCTGTAAGCAGACTCTGACCTCTGAGTCACAGAGGTTGACTGTGCTAGCTCCTGGCAGAAGGTAGCCTGGAAGTCATCTGCCTGTAGTGAGAGTGTAAAGGAGCGGTTTCTCTTGAAAGGTGAGCTGCTGAAGAGGTTTTGTTAGCATGCTAAAGGAAGAGATGGGTGTGCTGTTGATTGTTAGGAAACAGGAGAACCTTGCCTGTTCTCATCATTGGCAACAGTCTTGTTGCTGGATAACAAGAATGGCTTGGGTCATAATGACATGTTCTTAAGTATGGGAATACATAGACAGAAGAGATCTGCAGTACAGTGGCAGAATAATAGGATGAGTTGCTGCAATTCCGAATGGCTTTGCAGTGTGTTTTGCTCATGTGGTGAGTTATCTACCTCATGGAGAGCAGAGCTCCCTTACAAGTGCAGGGATGGCTGGAGTAGTTACTGTAATCTCAAACTGTACGACGTTGGCATACACAGCCTTCCTCTTCCCTGCTTCTTTCTAGTGGTTCTTGTTTCCTCAGTTCTTTTTTCATGTCTCCTGAGGAAAAGGTGTATGATGCAAAGTGAAGAATTCTTGTTCTTACTTGTTTTTAGGAAAAAGTTAAATGCAATCAATGTCTTGTCTTAAACCCTTGCTGTTAGGTAATGACTCCGTTCCTTTCCCGGTCCTTTTTTTGCTTTAAAGAACCCTGTCTCACTGCGTTTGGCCCAAAATCCAAGTCTAGAGAGCTCATCTTTTGTTGTGGCGAAAGTTTTAACAAATAGCTGCTTGCTATTACTGAAGGTATACTACATAACGTATACTGAAACTCTTGAAAGCAAACTCTGGTCTGGAAGCTACAGGGGTGCTTTAGTGCAATGCTGTACTGGGAAGCGAAGTCTCAGTGGGGGCAGAGCAAGAGCATGAATCTTCTTGCCTGTCCAGGCAGTCATACGCTATGGTCACTTCTCATGGGAAAGAGGTGCATCGAGAGAGGTTTATGATACACTGCAGCTTCTTAAAATTTGGTCACTTACTTCTGAACCACAATCAAATCTACACTTCAATCCTACAGGAATTGAGAAGCAATGGGATTTTTTTTTTTCCCTAGTAGCGTAAGTGCTGTAACTAAAAGAATACTTTTACATTTCTGCCTCCGTGAGTTACAACTTTTGAGCGTGAGTACAGGCATTTTGTGGAATTGCTAATGATGGATCTGCTCTTAGCTGGTGCAATAGTGAAACTATGTATTGGACTAAGAATATCTATTTCTTTGGAAAAAAAATTAGGTCAACATGTACTAACCTCACAGAATTACTGACTTTTTGTAATCTTCCACAAATGTTTAAGTGATTTTAAAGAAGTTAAAGTAATCCATGATTTTTTTTTTTTCTAATAGCTTTTTACTTTTTTGTCTTGGGAAGAGAATGTGCTGAATATATCATAGATACAAAGAAATCATGCATGTTTCTAAGCTTTTTGTCTCAAGTGTGGTTTTCCAGGATTTCTGGAGCAGACATCAGTAGTCTTCAATGTGTGTGTGCGCTTCCTGATACTGTTGTTGTTATTTTGAAAACACTTCATGTAATTTTTTTGAGGAGGGATGACAGAACATTTATTCTGTGTTGAAACCTTGCAATGAAAGACCATCACTTTTCAGGTTGTAAGGATCTGCAAAGTAGTCTGGTTTAGAGCGTGTAGCTATTGAACATGTCATTTTAAACACCAGTACAGCTCCCTAGGAGGAAGTTATACGTACCACTTACACTGATGGCCTCATACCTTGAAACCACAGGGGTTTTTTTCCAAAGTTTAAGAATTTATAAAGCATACTAAGCATCATATTCTGTAAACTATGATTAGCTTTGGACTTCAGCTACTTCCATCCACTTGACCAAAATACTCCATGTTTTCTTGTATTGTTTTCAGGTAGCTTTTATTTCTTTATCCTCATTTTTTTGTAACTTATCCTGTTAACTTCTAACATACACATTCCCACCTTGCTGCAAGTATGTGGTCTCAGTTTTTTCACTTCCTTTTCCTAACAATTCTTTATCAATGTAAGTATTCTTGAAATATTTAAAATCTTTTTTCAAAATTATCCCATTCAGCCTATAATGATCTCTGTGGTTCTGAATTCTCTCTAGGCTTTAATTTTTGAGTAATGATGTGCACCTACAAGAGTGTTTTATTTTTATATTGGAGCTACTGACCGGGAATAGATTGTAAGCTCTGTATCTCTAGATGTGGTTCAAAAACTTTTGTTTTATGTTTGTCTCTGTTTTTGACTTGCTGTCTGCTGTTTTCTGGGTCTCTTTCAGTGATTTAACAAATTTTCAGGTAATTTCTGCTTATCTTGACGGGAGTAAAAATGCTTTAATCTATGCTATTTTGAAACGCACTCATGCGCACCAGCTATTTAAACAGTTGTATAATAAAGATAAGAGACCTTAATTTCAGTCAAAAAGAGGGGAGTCCTAAACAACTTGGGAAAAAGTGTGTTACGGTTCTTATTACTCCTAGGAAGTAGTAGAAAGATTGGAGAAGCAGATAAGCATGAATAGAGTTTGTGGTGGCTGGAGGAAAAGGATGTGGTAGATTTTAGGAAAGATTCCTGTTAGATGCAGAGAAAGGCTAAGTTATGAGTAGGAAGGGGACTTTAGTCAATGCTGAGGGCTAGACAATGCACTTTGTTTTGTGTCGTTTTTTAATAAAAACACTGACTCGCTCAGCTTGTGTTTCTTCAAGATTTTTATGCGTCTGTGCCTTCTCCTGTCCTAACTAGTATATAGGGCAGATGCTGGTCAAGAGTGCGAATGGATAAATAAAGTCATAATGATGCTTGGCTGATGTGGCCTAGTAGTTTTTTTCAAGTTGAAAAAATATTAGAAAATTCGTACTTGTTAGGAACAAAGCTGTTGGTGTTATATACTAATGTATGTTTTGAGTATGGTAATGCTGTTTTTCCCTGTATAGCTTGCATATGAAATCTCTAGTTAAAATAAGCAGCAACATATATGCATGATGAATGAGAAGAAGAGGGCAAAAGTTAGCAAGGTCAGAGTTTTCAAAGTGTAGAGAACTGCTTTGTTCAAATTCTTACCTCGTGTCAGAAGTGAATCTTCTTTTCAGAAAAGGGTAGCAGAACACTGAATGATATACCTGTGATGACTTGCATCTGTTCAGAGGAATTTCAGGAGACATTTCACAACCAACTTTATGTTGCAGTCTCCATTTGTCCTGGTATCCAGTTAACAGCCTAGCGTGGGAGGTGACCCTCAACAACAACTGGAAAAATATTTGTGAACATGAGAATTCCTTTGCTGAAACATCACTATACAGTGTAGTACAAAGTCAGTAGCTGTAAGCCTTAGAAAAAATAAAAGGAGCAACATTGATTTTGTGGCCTGTCAAGCTCTTTAATAACCATTTATTAGTCAGGTCTCAAAATCACTAATCTGTTTGCTGATGGTGGAGCAGATTACATAGGGTAGAATTTCGCTTGTTTTGGTATCATCCCTTTGCTGGACTAGCATGAATCTTTTCCTTGTTCTCTAAAGAACTAGGAAACCTTCCTTGATCTAATAAATGCTGAAAGACAAGAAGAATGAGCTTATAGAATCAAAAATGTGCTTAAGAAACCACTGAATCTGTTTCTTAAAAGGACACTATAGAGAGAACTTTCTTTCCTCAAGGTAATAATTTTTTTAAGGTTAAAGAGAAAATTATAATAATGAGAAGAAGTTTTGCAACTTTTCTTAATATTTAAATAATACACAAACAATCTTCTTGCTGCTTATAGAGAAACCATGCCGTTTTTGGGCCAAGACTGGAGATCCCCTGGATGGAGATGGGTTAAAACAGAAGATGGATGGAAACGATGTGAACCCTTCAGTCCTGCACTTGAGGATGGGAATAGTCAGCTGAATGATATCAGTCACACTGTGTAAGTTAAAAAAAAAAAAGTGATTTTTACATGAGTTAATAGCAGGTGGGAAGGCAGAGACTGACTTAATGTCCATTCAGACTGGAAGTGTTTGTGGTAGATGATATCATCTGCATAAGCTAAAAGTATACAAATGCAACCATGCACTTTATTTAGTTAGGCTGGCAGGAGACCCCTATGGAGAGTCTGTCTTTTGTTACTCCTTTGAGTTGCTTATTTTAGGCAGACAGATCCCATCTTATGTTGTATGTCTTTTAAAAATAATTAAAAAAAACCCTTAAAAACACCAAACAAAACAGAAAACCTGTCAAGTACTATGTAAAGGTAAAAGTGATAGTTATAACTTGCAAGTACAACAGGCATATTGAAATGTTACCTGGAAATGAATTAAGACTTTCTGCTGATAGGATATTGGATTAGGACTGTTTATGGCAGTCGTATAATGCCTTTGCTCCAAATACACAATTAATGGTAGTTTTATGGTAATTCTCTAACACAATATATGATACTATGTGCTCCTATAGAACAAGTGAGAAAGATACTAGTTAAATTAAGTAATACTTGTGGCAGATGCGCACAGACTGGTGTGATATAAATAACTTTGTCCAAACAAATTTCTACTTGGCTTCTCCACTAAGAAGTAATTCTCAGGGATAGCATTCTTGGTCATAAATTCCAGCATAATGTGCTCATAATGAGAAAAGGGAACATTCAGTGTTTTGTTGTTAGTCCAGTAAATGATACAGTAACTGATCTGATTTAGAGGGAATTTGCTGGCAAGCAAGTCATACACCTGCGTCTTCTAAACTTGTGAAAGTAACCTCAAGAGAGTTATCAAACAGTGAATAATTTTATTATTAAGCTTATCTTGACCTACTGTTTTCTTCGTGCCTTTTTTTTGTGTTCATCTGTGACTGATCTTATTTGGGCTTCTTTTTCCACACAGTCTGGCCACTGTGGATACAAAAGACTCTGTTTGTCTGGAAGAGTGTTCAGTAAGCCTCCAACATAAAAGTTGCCTTAAATACCTTTGAAAAAAATATTTTCTTCCCTCTTTCACATTTCTTTAATAGTATAGTTGGCAAATAAAAGGAAATCTGAATTAATTTTGATGGCTGTTTGTAGGTTCCTTTAATGAATATTGTTTGGCAAATACGACATAAATGATCATTGTCTCAGTGAATTTCATTAAGACCTTTGCTCTTCTGATCCTGATGATATATATCTTTTCTCCAGAGAGCAAGGTGAGGTATTTTTATTGCTTCCTCAAGCAAAAATAGGAGACTATGTTTTTTTCCTTAGTCTTGAAAGAATTTTGTATTGAACTTCACTGGCATTGCCTTGCTAGAAACTGATTTAAATCAAGTGGTTTTGGAAAGATATGAGCATTAAAGTTCAGGACTACAATAGGTATATTAATTTGAAGGGGCTGGCCATGGAATGCTCCAGGGGGAAAAAGTTTTCATGAAAACTGAGGTGTTTCATGATTTGGGTTTCTTAGGCTAGCTTGCTAATTTGTCAGAATCCCAAACTCGAGGACCAACCTGGTCTGCAGCAAATGACTTCCTCATCTGTAGTGATTCCTCAGTTCCTCATCTTCATCTTACACATCTCCTACTTAGTGAAGCCAAACCACGCCATATTCTGTGGCCCTGTTTTGGTTTTTTGTTCTTTTTTTTTTTTCCTTTTAAATTCTGCTTCTGTCTATTCAGTTAAAAAGGTATGTTATCCAAACTTAGACTACAGAATTCAAGTCGGTACTTCTTGGCAAAGTAGCACTGCTTGGGAGTGATTTCACTACACCCTGAACTTTGGATCTATGAGTTAACCTTTGCTGTTAAACAGCAATTAATGTCTATTTATGCAACATTATAAAACAATTTAAGGTGGAAAGGACCTCTGGTGGTCATGTCGTCCAAATACATACTCGAAGCAGGGCCACCTGAGGGTGGGTTGTATAGGGCCTTGCCCAGTTGAGCTTAGTGCATTTCCAAGAATGGAAATTTCTCTCTCAGTTCCTGTTGTAAGTTGTGTTACCCTCACTGTGATGATAGGGCCTTGCCCAGTTGAGCTTAGTGCATTTCCAAGAATGGAAATTTCTCTCTCGGTTCCTGTTGTAAGTTGTGTTACCTTCACTGTGATGATGGAGTATCACCCAGTTGAGCTTTGTGCATTTCCAAGAATGGAAATTTCTCTCTTGGTTCCTGTTGTAAGTTGTGTTACCCTCACTGTGATGATAGGGCCTTGCCTAGTTGAGCTTTGTGCATTGCCAAGAATGGAAATTTCTCTCTCAGTTCCTGTTGTAAGTTGTGTTACCCTCACTGTGATGTTGGGTTTTTGTTGTGTCCCCCCGCCCGAAATCTAATAAGAATTTCTCTTATCACAGATTGTGTCAGTTACCACTTATTAGTGCTCACCTCCTCTAACCTTGCAGTCCAGCTCTATCTTATTTATACCCTTATATTAGATATTGACAGTAATTGGATTTCCTTCCACCACCACCTCTTAACGCTGCACAAGCTCAGTTCTCTAACCCTCGTGCATCGTGTGCTCCGCTACGTAATCACCTTGGTAACTCTCCACTGGACTTGTTCCAGTAGGCCAATGTTTATATTGCACTGGGGAGCCCCAGACTAGACACAGTACTCCAAATGAAGTTCCTCATGCCAAATAAAGGGGCATAATTACTGCTTTCAGTCTGCAGGATACATTTTGTTAACTCGAACCAGGGTGCAGTTGGCTTAATACAACACAAGGGCACACTGCTGACCTGTGTTCAGCTTCTCAGCCCCAAGACCCCTGGCTCCTTCTCTGCAAAACTGGTTCCTATCCAGTCTGTACCCAGCATATACCCAGACATGGAGTTCTTCTGCCCCGTGCGCAGGGCTTTGCATTGAAGTACAGCAGTGTATTGTGTGTTGCTGTCTGCCTGTACCATCTTAAATTATTTGGAAGCAATTATCTGTGTATATTGAATAGACAGCTCAACCTAGGATATCTGTTAACATGGTGTAGCACTGAGTAAGAATGAGGCTTGATAAAATCCTTCCTTGTGGAAGAAGCATGTAGTAAACAATACATAAATAGTATCTTTTTAAACTGCCCTGTGAATAGGGATGATGGTGTATGCCAATCTGGCTGTCCTAACAAGGTTTTATTTATTTTCACCCATTAAATGAAATAATATTTTCCACCAAAATATTCTGTAGAAACCTATGCTAAAGGTAGTACTCGAGTATTGTATTCCAGGGAGCAGTTATGGCAATTATTTATTTTTAAAGGAAAAATTCAAGCTACGTAGTTGACTGAAACCTTCTTTACTTGTTCTCTTCTGTGAGAGAAGGTATGGATCTTGCCAAACTTTGTCTTTGATCCATTACAAATACAGAAATTAAAAAGATCTAATCACAAATAGATTCAGAAATAAACCTTCAAGACGTAAATAACTTAAATTGAAGAATATGTTTTTATTAAAATAGAACTTTTAACCTTACTCAATTAGTCATCCTGTGCCTTGGTGAATCCAGTTGATAAATTAGTCAAAACTGGTGGACCTAATGATAACCATGCTTGAACGAGCATCATCACTTGTGCAGGAACAATTTAAAAGATTTGGAATAATGCTTAAATAGTTGCACTTTAAATTAGTTCCATTTATGGAAACTGAGAAGGAACAAATGAGACCCTCAGTTTTGTAGCTGTTACTTGGATAATTAATATTATTATATAAGTGAAGAGTGCCTTGTGTTCAAGGTAAACGGTAGCTGGAACTGTGGTTGAGGCAGTGCTCATTGAAGCTCTGGGGGCTGAACGCTGGCCACAACTACGTGCAATTTGTACCTGTAAATTCTAGCGCAGATACGTGTTTCCAGTGCAATGGCACGGTGTCCTTGAAGCTTGATGGGGGAGAGAGAACAGAATTTTATGTAAATACCTCTCAGTAGCCTGCAACTTAAGACTAGAGATTTCCTTTTGAGGTAAAAGAAAGAGTGAATCGGACTAATAAGATTTTCATGGCAGTGATACTCCTTTTTTTGGTGTGTTAGGCTTGTATGAACCACTCGAGCAGGCAGGGTAGTCATCTGAGTCTGTGGTGGTCAGTTCACTAATTCTGTAAGTGAGATACGGTGTTCACAAAAGTGTTCTTGGCACTGGATAGAAGTTCTTGGATTTGAATCGAGTCTTAGCTAATTTGATAATTTGATTTATGATGATGATCGTGATTTATGATCAATGATAAATTGATATATTTGATGAATATATTGTGATGTTATTTGGTGCAGGCACTTGACTCAGGATTTTGTGTACATGGTTGAGCTGTAAATGGCTTTGGGTCTCTTCTAAAACCCTTAGTGCATATCTGTAGGTAATTGCATGACTTGAGGGCATTCCTTCTTCCAAGGGAAAAGAAGCGAGGGGATTACAAAGAATAGTTGGAGTTTGGATAGCCCTGTCAAGTTTTCCAGCATTTTAAGTGTCATGCCCAAGAGGTTATTTAAATACTGCTATGAAATTTTTTTTTTCAAAAAGCTGAAATTCTTGCGTGCTTTGTGTAGGGTATTGTAGTGCTAAAGACGCCAGGTACTTTGCTTTTAGAAGCTTTAGAATAATTTTTTTATGAAGAAGTGCATCATCAAGACAAAGTAAGAATAGCTGTAAATTGGCAGTATTATGTAAGTATTTAAATCCTTCCAGGTGCACTCAGATGTCATGTGCAGTATTATGGTAAAAACATTAAATGGAGGCTCCTGTTACACCATATGGCATGTGCAGCACTTGATTCAGTTTCTTGTATCTTAGCTTGGTGTTCGGGTGGGGCAGGGGTTGCTTTTGGAAATGGTGGAGCAGCTTTGTAACTCATCGAGCAACTTTCCACATTTCTGGAAGGAAGGCTAGCAGTCACTGGGGAAGTGCCCGTATTTCTGTCCCATTCTTCTGATGTCTGTGGGACCCTGGCTTACGTTCTCAGTAGGAGACTTAAAGTTTGTCCAGAAGAATGGTGATGGTTACAGGTAAGTAGGGGAAGACTCTCCACATGAAGTGGAGGAAATGCAGCCTCGTATGAGAAGATCTTCAGAGATAACAGTAAAATTTGTCTTTTTTCTAAAATGACATGAAGAATTCCAGGAATGTCACAGGTGAATTTGAATGTCAGACAAAGGTGTTTGAAATATCCCTCTTCATCTTTGCAATTCTTTGTGTTAATTGACTGTCCTTAAGCTGCCTTGCTTGTTTATCTGATGCTTGAGGAAGTGTATATTATTGAGGGACAGGGGTGGGCTTTAATTCCCTTCAGGTATGTTACTGGCCTAAACTGCTTTCTAGGGGCACTTCATTTCCAGGAACAAAAGAAGGAATTCTGCCAGATTAACCTTCCTCTTCTAAAGCAGGCCTTCAGGAATGAATGCTGCCTCCCCTCCTCTCCCCATCGCACTGGGTCAATGGGAATGGGCATGTTTCTCTTCTGCCTCAATTATATTGCAGAGTATCAGGCCATATCTCTCTAGTCTTGTATCTGTTGTTAGGATGATAAAGCTAGGTCTGGGAACTTTGGACCTCTATTTCTGATTCTGCAGCAACTTTTCAGATTCTGCAATAACTTCTCATGTGACATGGTGATGTAGTCAATATGCTAAAAGGTCATAAAATGAATAATTTTAGTGAGCTTAAAAAGATATTTCCTTTATGATAGCTTTGAAAAAAAAATAACCTGGATAGATTGGAATGTTAGGTAATCAAAGTAACTTGTCAGTGCTGGTGTTCTGCTTTTGTCAGTTGCCAGTTCCTTTTCTCCAAACTCTTTTGCTGTTTGAGCAGATATGATATTTGGCAGTGTTGCATAGAATATTGAAGTTGTTGAGTCTTTATCCTTGGCTTTAAAAAGGGTAAAACACGAACTAAGGCCCTCACCTTGGATTGAGCCCCATCTGAATGCAGAGGCATGTTATCTCTTTTTTAGGATTTAAACCTAAGATGAAAACAACTTTTATTTCTGAGTCTTCTCAACTTGTTTATCTTTAAGCTGAGCTAGCATTTACTGATTAGAGCAGTTATAAAACCAAAGCTTTTTTACAGGGTTGTTTAGTCATCTTCCTTAACAGACTGTTCAAACTTTTAACTGTGTAACTTAGTAGCGGTAGACTAATATAATTTGGGTTTTACTGCTTAATGTCCAAATACAGATTATTTTTGAATAAACTAGTGTCCCACCGTTTTAGAATGTTCAGCTGTTGCTGGTGCAATTTGAAGTTCAAACTGACATCGATACATAGATTCATCTGGCAAATTCGGATTAAAAAATAGTAATGAAGGGGAAGAGTTTTGTAGACAACTTTCTTGTCAAGGGATAATAATGGGGAAATGAAATAGTCCTAGAGTTAAACTTTGCTACCACATATCCTTAGTTATTCTGGTTATCTGTGCAATACTGTGGCCTTCATGTGAAGTATCTTCTTTCTCTGTACTGGAAAGATGAACACCCATTCTTATCTGTATTGCTGGTCCTTATAATTATCTGCAAAAATCTAGAAAGCAAAACTTTATGAAACTATGTAGGCTTTATGTAGCACAGGCAGTTTTTAAACGTGTATGAATTTTAGAAAGGTTAGTTTATCTAGCAAAACTTTTTTTAATAGTGTCTTTATGTGTATTTTTATATATATATGTACACACAGACTCAAACTGTCTATATATGCATTATATATATGATTATTCAGTATAGTCCTCAGTGTTAGGTTACATAGTTAACTGTCAGAAGTGACGCAGGTATAGTTGAGTCTTTCTGAGAGAGATTGCCATACCAATCATTGGTGAAACAGTACTGTGACACCTACATCATGTACAGTGTTGTGATTTGGGCATTTGTTGAAAGAAAGACTTTCTTTGCCCCAAAGTTGACGGTATGCACGAGATGTCTGTCTGTTGCAAGTACTCTGATAAGATAATCAAGATTTGATCATACAGAAAAGTTAGGTTTGATTAAGAAGTAGAAAATTGTAAAGCATAAGGTATAAGTTAGGATTGTTAAGTCTGAAATGGGTAACCATAGGATTGTTATATTTGAAATAGGCAACTACAGAAATCTCACCGGTAGTTACTGGATTTTTCTATGTTTTGTTTTACATAAGTAAGGAGACCGTCATGGGCACCAGTTATGTTGCTTGGAAATCCCCTTGCCCTTCCGATCTTGATTTGAATATCCAGAATCTTAATCACTAGAGTTAAGTAGAACTGACCAATGATTGTTTTAGAATAAGAATATTGATAAGGTTATACAACTAATGAAACCAGTCATTGTAAAGGTTAAATTTAAGAGTGAGCATATTATGCGTTTTTATGTAAAAGAACTTATGTAACAATGGTTTGACAGAAAAAGTGTATGAAAACTGTTGGAGTTTGATGCTAAAGTGGACACGACAGGTGGAGCTATCCCCCATGTCCCCAGCGCTGCAATAAAGGAGTGCCTGCTTCTTAATACTACATTGGTGTTGAGAGGTTTTTATTCCCGATTTCGGTGACGTGTCTTTGCTGACTTTCTGCCTATGCAAGGATCCGCAGTAATTCTGCGCTGACTTTGTGCACAGTTTTTTCAAGGCTTGGTCCACTGTAAATAGTGAATTTTTGTGCACCAGATCTTTGCGAACAGCCAGTTGTCCAGCTGGTACTGTCTCCTTGGTAGTGCTTCTTAACTGTCAGTAATGACTTACAAGATACCTATTAGGAAGATACTTTTGTGTATTTAATTACTTTAACACAAAATTCAATCCCACTGGGAAGAAAAGAACAGGGCAGCTTCTCTGCTAGGGTATGTGTAGCTATAGACCATCAGGTAGAGGAACATCATTAAAAATATGATTTTTTTTTTTTTCCAGCTGGCAGACTTTAATGCAGAGAATGATAAGCTGTAGGCATCTTAAGTGTTTAATCACTGCTGTTCTAAATAGATGTGTTTATTTCAGCATCATAACTGGTGATGATGAGGATGAAGAAATATACAGTACTGAAGACTGTGAGTTTGCAGCCAAGAAAAGGAAAAAAGATCATTTTAGGAATAACACAGATTCGCAATGTAAGACTATTTTTTTGTTTTTTGTTGTTTTCATTTATTTTAGAAGACTCGTGTAGGTTCAGCAAAACTTTATAATAGCCATTCATTTATATTCATCTATAGAGTAGCTTTCTGAGTTACGTTTACTTCTGTATTGGCAACAAATTCTGGTGTCAGAGTGGTACATCTTAATTGAACTGTGGCATTGATCATCTATTGTGTGATTTTTATTTTATTTTTTCAAAGATCCAAAGGTAATTAATTTAAGAATAGTAATTCCTGAATAATAAATGTCATCTGATACTAACCACTCATTTGTGGACTAGTTTTAGATTAAATTCTTCTGGATGCTTATGGAAGCTTCTACTTAACAAAGTAGCTGTTTTATTTTTGCTTAATTCAAATTCTGATTAGTGATACAACTCCAGAATCAGTTTGTAAATAAATATATTTTGTCATAATATCTATAGCTTTTGGTAAAGACTTTACCAGTGTTTAATTTCTTGAAGAAAAGTCCCTTTTTAAAAAAAAAAAAAATTGAAATATGAAAGCCATTTTGTCAGTTCTCATTTTTAAAAGATCACCTGTACTTTTGGACTGCAAGTGTGTATGACAGCAAGTAAACTTACTGAAGCAGAAAATTTGGTAGAGTAGGTAAAAAAAGAAAGTAAGTTAATTAGCAACTTCTTGGTGTTTCTGATGTTTCTTATGCTTTGATCTTGAAATGATCTCTGTCATTTGTATATTCCCAAAGTTGTAACAGAGATGGTCTTGCAGAAAGTTGCAAGCTTCCCCGGGCTTGTGTGAGCTTAAAGTATTTCAAAAGATTCAAGTGGCTGTATGTAAGAGCATGCTTTCACTTGACAGCATACTAGACTTCAGAAAGCTGATGGTCTGCCTGGTTGCCTTTATTAGTCTTGTATAACTGATTTCCCTGCAGTATTCTGCAACTAGTTGAACCACGTGGATGTGGAGCAGGCATCTTTACAGAAGAAAATAGATTAGAGGGTTAGAGTGGTCAGGAACAAAAAGGTTGCTCATATCTGTACTTTCCTGTGTTAAGTGCTAAGGAGCCTGCTGGATTAAAAAAGATGTGGGGTTTTGTATGAGAAATTGACTCTTGTTGATACGGAGTTGACAAAAGTTGTGCTACCTCTGCAAATTGTGTGCCAACTCTTGTGTTTGATTTATAAAATTATTTATGTTTTCCTTTTTTTTGAAGTACATAAGTACTGAAAACTTGTAGTCATCCTTTCCAGTCTCTGTAAGCTTCCTTCATTAAAACTGTTCTACAGTATTTCCTATCTTATGAAGCATTTTATTGAGGATCGTCTGTTTTGTTCAATTTTCTTTCTAGAAGGCATTACCTAAAGTGGAAGCCTAAAAATGCTTATATTTTTATTTTAGGTTTTTATCGTGAAAAGTGGATTTACGTTCATAAGGAAAGCACCAGAGAAGTAAGTCCTGCATGCTGTGGGCCAATTCCTACAATCTTTATGCTTTCTAATTGACAAATAGTATGTTAAAAAAAAAAAAGCATTTGTGCCATGTGGTCTTAGGGGTTATATTCAACTCTCTTTTCATTGGCAACATAGTACACCTGCATGTGGTAAGGCAAAGGCAGCTACCAGAGTGACTTTTACATGGGTCATTGTGGCAGAGATGTGGAAAATTCCAAGGATGGACGTATAGTTCTCCACTACTTCTCCAAGCCCATCTATCTGTACTGTGTGTCTTTGAACTAAAATTGAAAGTGTTTGCAAAACCAGAGTAATGTCTCCAAAGAAGGTATCTGCAGGCAGCTACCTGATATTTTGGAATCTTGGTGTAAATTTGAATATAAGTAAGTAAAACTTCAGTTTCAACCTTTACAGAGAGGACCTTTGTGTTCCACAAAGTCCAGATGCTTTCAGTTTGAGATACAGGCTGTATCATGCAACTGTAAAAGGAACGTGAAAGATCTTGAAATGACCTCTTGGAAGGCCGAGAGTTAAAATACATCCATTGTATGGAGAGAGAAACTGCTTTGGAAGTTTGCGTTTCATTCGTGTGTTGATTCCTATGGTTATCTGGAATGGGTGGAACTTGGACACCTGTAAGGATGTCTTTCATCCATACAGTAATGCCAGCCAGGAGAGAGGGAAGGAGGTCAGTATGATGACCCTGGCCATGCAGGCAAAAGTTGACTTTGCATTTTAGGGTTGAGAGAGACCATAAAGAGCTCTGTACTTGGGAAGAGCATGGTGTTGTGGAAGGAGTTTACATAGCCGAAAGACCTCACCTTGCAGGCTGGTGACCTGTAGGCTGTCCTTCTACATCTGAAGGGTATTACAAAGCCTTTCACCAGATTCATAGCCCTCTTTCCCAGTTTTATCTTCATCTGTGATAGATGTAGTTACTTATATTGATCTGCAAAAGTCTCAAGCACACT